AATAAAGTTTATTATTAGCAATATTATTAAATATTATTAATTAGTATGTATTATTTATGAATTAATATTAATAAATATAATATGATCATTATTACATTAATCTATCAAATGTCCATATTATATAGTAATATAAAATTTATATTACCTACTCGTATTTTTCATACACCTACATTATTGTTATTATTATTATAAATGATTTTGTTATAATAAAAATAAAAAAATATTTAGCATGTCACACAGGAACATACTCCTCAGAAGCATGTTGGAAGTGAATGAGATAGATATTAACCTCTGGAATTGATTTAACAAAGCGGATTCCATCGTTTGCTCCTTTGATTTTGGCCAGGCAGTCGCTGAAATAATCCCAGTAGTCTTTTCTGGATCCCAGAAATGTTGTTTTCTCCTTCTGGCCGAACTGAGCAATATAACAATAACATAACACTTCAGATAAATGACTGAGAAACATCTTAAAAGCAGGCTCAAAGAAGTTTAAATGAAAAAGTTTCAAGTCCTTTTTGGACAGCATGAGATCTCATCTTGCACGATTAGGGCTTTTGAGTGCATCCATATGGCCTGCTTCACACCTGGTATTAGCATCCGTCACGGATGATCAGATCTCAAGTGACTCACATTTACACCTGATATTAACATGCATGTCCTGTGATCACTTGTAGTTGGGTTTAATCAAAGCGAGGGTTTCCCATTATGTGACTAATTACATCAGTCTGTCACTGCACATTGATAATACACAAAAATAAAGCACCAGAAATACAAATAAAGCACACAAAACTACGGTGGCCGAGAGAGCTCAACGTGCTGCAAATGAAAAAAACACATGCAAATAGAAAAAACACCAGTGAATTAAGAAAATATCTTCATCAGTTTGACAACACATGCGCTGCAAAGACTCACAACACAATCAGATACAGAAACGCGCCGCAAATACACACAGACATGGGCTACTATAGTTAAACCATGGTAATCACAAATTACACTAACCATAGTTTAACCATGATATTTGTGTCGTAGTTACACAAATGGTAATCACCCCAAAAAAAATGGTAATGGTAAAATTGCAAACACCAAAAACATCATTAATACACTTTTACTTTAATAAAACCATAGTTCATTTTCGTAAGGGTTGTTGGGGTCCCCTTGAAACATTTCCGTTGTGGTCTGTGCTACATGCAACGCTTTTCTGTATTTGGTTGTGTTGTGTGTATTCGCAGTGCATTTCTGTATTTAATTGTGTTGTGAGGATTTGCAGCGCGTTTCTGTATTTGGTCGCATTGTGAGAATTTGCAGAACATGTGTTGTCAAACTGATGAAGATATTTTCTTAATTTGCTGGTGCTTTTTCTATTTGCATGTGTTTTCTTAAGTTGCAGTGCATTGAGCTCTCTCGGTCACCGTACAAAACAAATTAATTTAAAGGGAAAACATTTCATAGCCCTTTAGCCAATTATTGTTCTTGCTTTGAGCATAAACTCACTTAATTTTGTTTAATTTTTAAGTAGGGCTGGGTATCGAGTTTGATACTTTTTAGGCACCGACCGAAATGCCTCGATACCATCGAGTATCGAAAAACGTCTCGTCGTTCGGTACCAAATTTCGATACTCAGTAAATCAGTGGAAAATAAATAGAAATCATGATTCTGTCTGAGCTATGCGTTTTAAAACGAACACGCACTAGTGTAAATGTAGCCTAACAGATGTGTAAACTGAAGACTATTTGAGCTTTATTAAAACTATTTGAACTGATTTATTGTGTTGGTTACATTTTGTTCCTTTGTGCAGTGGCTCAGGAGGTGAGTCTTTGAGTTTGTATAAACATCAACAAGCTGAAAAATAAAACCAAAGTTTTTTTTTTTTTTTAGATAATGTAATCTTGTTAAAATTGATTTCATAAAATTGGTATCGAAAAAAGTATCGTTCAGGAACCGGTATCGAAGTCAAGGTATCGGTATCGATATCGAAAATGTTTGAACGATACCCAGCCCTATTTTTAAGACATCATTTTAAATTTGCATCTTGATTACTTTTTTCTTGTAAACCCACACATAACAGTAAAGTTTAAAATCCTTGTTTTAGCACAATGGTTGATTGGCAGGTGAGTATGCGATACTGTTTTGTTGGTCAGGCTGCATGAGAATTTACACAACAAATACGATGTAATCATATGCATTTCTAGCTACTTTGATCAATCAAATACGAAGTTTGGGAGCCCGTTTACATCTTTTTTCCGTGTCTATGTCTCTGACCTGTAGCAGGTACTCCAGTTTGTAGGCGAACTTGTGCAGGTTGGAGCTGTCATCTGTAATGGGCTCGCCGTTCTCCTTATACTCTTTTGTCAGTTCTGAAACAGCATCTGTAAGAAAAGACCATCAGAATAAAGCAAGTATGACAATCAAAATGACATAAAGATATGTAAATGCACATTTTAAAACAATCACAGAGCAACACATTGTAATTAATAATTTTATAGTCATTTTTTTTCAAGGGTTTAAGAAGTGTTTTTTCTCCTTCTTTAGCCCATTTTTGGTTGTATGTCTTCCACGCGCCTTTCATCCACCTCAGGAACTGAAACGGCACACATGAGGGATAAACTCTGACACGCAGGTCTCTCTCGTTTTGCATTTCTCTTTGCCCCATGTTGAAAGCCAGCACCCTGAGGACTGCAACTGCACGTGCTCCACCGTGGACCACGTGTCTCTTTTCACGCTCTAAACAATAGCTCTGCCTCTCTCATGAAGGCCAACGCACATTCGTACCATGCAGATCTCTGATAATCCGTTGGATCTGACCCTCTCCGACTGCAGCACCAGCGGCCATGGTCTGACTAGCTTCCTGCCAACGAGGTCAAGAGGTCATCCGTAGTCTGCTGAGTGAAAGAATCACAGTGACAAAAGATAACTCACATTTTATATGCACATTATATTTATTTATGGAGAAGCATTACATATCAGTCATATTAGTGATTTTAAGTGGTATCCCATTAAGAAACAAACTCATATGCATCTTGGATGACCAGAGAATAATTTTTCAGCAAATGTTAATTTTTGGATGAAGTAGTAAAGCATCACTACTAGTGCTTATACTTATTTGCGTTTCTATGTAGGAATGCTCTATTTTCCAAGTAGTACAGATCAATAATATTTCTGATTATTTTGGTATCGCTATAATCTGGATCATTGCTTGAATTCACAAGGCCACAAACAAGGATCTCAGTATTGCCCTCTGTTGACGACCAAAGCTTTAGCACATAATAATAGTCAAGGCCAAAATGTCTATTTTCTTATTAAAATTAAGCAATGTGCAACATTGTGTAGTAAAGTGATAGCAATGCCGGCAGGACAAAAACTACTATGAACGCTGAAATACAGAAAGACATCCACCAGCTGTCCTGAATGTTTGTGGTAAACTAGGCATCTGTTAAGCAGAAATACAATATCTGGTGATAGATAAAAGATTTTCACTATAAAGGAACTACTAAAATTGCACCAATTGCAAGCTAAAGATAATTTAGAACATGGTAAGACAAACCTACTTCTCTAATCTATTTTAACAGCTGGTTTAAACAGTGGTTTGGTGAAGATTCTGTGAAACAAAAATACTAAGAACTAATAACAGTTTTGTTTTTATACTTAGCCTAAGTGTATTTATAGATAGATAGATAGATAGATAGATTTTTCCATTTAAGACATTTTAACTGATCAAGTTCTTCTTAAATAGTCAAATGACATTCACTGCGTCTACTGTTTGTTTATGATCATTTATGACTACGCAGAATTTTAAATATCAAGTTACAAAATGATAACACACGACATCTGAACCCTCCGAGTGGAACAGATAAGACCTTTGAGAGAAACAATAATATTTACTGTACTGTTCGATTACACAACATCACTAGAAACAGCTGTTTTTGAAATGTAAACAAACATCAGTGTCCGCGTTCTTTCACACGTTCCATTGCCTTTCACTGGTTTGAATTCAAATGAAAAGGAGCGAGTTCTCTGGAACAGCGTCTTTTGTTGCCATAGAAACTATGTTTAAAAAAACCAACAGAAGTTCAACGATATAAAACAACTATACAGTCAATAATTTACAGGGTAAACAGCCAGGATGACATGTCAGAATGTTTATTCCGGATAAACGCGGTTTTAGACTGAAGTTAGCATGTATGTGTTACAGCTGGACGTTTGTTAAATGTGTGATAAATGTCTTGAAAGTGAAAAAAATAAGCTGACATACTTTGGCTTTTGCAAGGATCCGAGAAAGTCCACTTTTAGTTTACATCGTGAAACAACCTTGCTAGGCTACTATTTTTGATTGACAGAAATTTCCGCCATAGACGGCGGACTTCGCAGCTTAACCCTTTTTTTATTGGACCGCGAAAAATAACCCCGCCTTATGTTTGGTTACGAGAACAAGAGGGTTAGGTGTGTAGGTCCCCCTCACTGGACGTCATGAAATTATATGTACACACACACACACACACATATAAATATATATATATATATATATAATTTTATTTATTTTAGTTATGTAATGTAATAACATTAAACATTATAATATATTACAAAATGATTTTTCTTCCACTATTCTTCTATGATATCTATTCTATGCCATCAATTATTACTTAATTTTGATATTTCTGTCTAACAAACAAACGGTCTTTTGTGTACATGATTGTCATGCTTGTACATGCATGTAGGTGTGTTTAAAAAAAAAAAAGAGGAAGAAAAACCTCCTCTTCAGTATAAATAGTGAAAAACACGAACACCTCTACCACATCTCTGATCACCTGTCTATTGGACAAGAAGGTCAGCCCAAAAAGCTGTGGGGACAATGTTTTATATATTTCATATCAGTCTGGTTTGATTCTGTTTAGTTAGAGAAGAGATAGTTTATCGTCTTGCAAACTGACAGTGGAAAGAGCAACAGGTAAGAACTAAATGTTTAGTAAACTAATTTAGTATATTCACACTGGGATAAATTTAGATAAATTGATTAATATAACTTTTTTCTCTTGTTTTGTCTTAATGAAAAGGCAGATTGTGTTGATGTTTGAGTTGATTCTCCACAGAAACCGTCGGTAGGGAACAAAGAACTGAACTTGGGCAAACCGGAAAAAGTTTGCTGTTGCAGAACAACATGACTGATGAGAATGCAACGTATTATTATAACCCAGTCTATGAAGATGAGTTGTGTCGCAAAGAGGAGGTGGTGAAAATCGGATCCTTTGTTATTCCAATCTTTTTCACAGCAGTGGTTGTGTTGAGCTGCATCGGTAACATCCTCGTTCTGGTCATGCTTGCACTCTACGAGAGCCTCAAATCCCTGACCAACGTCTTCATCCTCAATTTAGCCGTGTCAGATCTGCTGTTCACTTTTGGCCTTCCGTTTTGGGCCTCGTACTACATCTGGGGTTGGACATTTGGAGAGGTTGGTTGTAAAGCTGTGAAGTTCTTCTTCTATGTGGGCTTTTACAGCAGCGTGTTGTTCTTGACTCTAATGACCGTTCAGCGTTATATGGCAGTGGTTCATCCTCTGTCTGACTGGGAGAGATGCAGAGGCCTTTCCGTCTCTCCTTTTATCGTTTGGATCCTGAGTGGAACGGTTGCACTGCTCGGTTCACTTCATAGCAAAGTCATGACAGAATCTGAGAGCCTATACTGTGAATATGACAGTGCTGAATGGAGATCTGGCATTGCTTATTTTCAAAATGCTTTTTTCTTCATTGCATTCCTAATCATGGGTTATTGCTATGGCAGAATGCTGCGGACGATCACAAAATCACGGACTAATAAGAGACACAAGACTGTTAGACTAATATTCTGTATTGCACTGGTGTTTTTTATTGGTTGGGCTCCATATAACATTGTCATGTTCCTAAAATCTTTGACTGTCCATCCATTCACTGACTGTGAAGTAAGTATTAGTCTAGAATATGCATATTATGCTTGCCGAATGATAGCTTTCTCACACTGCTGCTTGAACCCTGTGTTTTACGTTTTTGTTGGAGTAAAGTTCAGGAATCATCTAAAAATGATTCTGCAGAAGATCTTTCAAAAAAAAAAAAAACTAAATTCCAGTCAAACCAGATTGGCAAAAAATCAATCGCAGGGTTCAATGTATTAAGAGAAAACTTGAGTACTTTTACCGATTGCAGCGAACCAACTTTGAGTTTTAAAATACAATGTGAATGATGTACACAGAGATACTGTTGCAGCTATTTTTTTATTATTATTATTGATATGCTGGAGCTGATTATTTGAAAACTTTGTTGAGCCATTGCACAGCTTCTGCCAATATAACTGCAATCGTTACATCTGCATAATTGAAATTTAAATAAACAAAGTGCCACTTTACAGGATAATTCCTCTCTCTATCAAGCAGCAAAAGCATTCAGTTCTGAGAAAATCATGTTCCTAATTATAACCAGTGTTCTTCATTTTTTGTGGTTAAAAGTTCTCAATTTTTGTAGGTAAAAATATAACTGAAAGTACGTAATAAGCCCACCAACATATGTGTCATTAGTAATGAAGAAAATATTCTAATATGAAATTAAAATATATCTATATACCTTCTTTCGTCTGTTACTGTATGAATTTAATGTACATTATGACTTTCATGTTTATGTCACTGCTTGTACAGTTTATTAAATGGATAATGCAGAGTAAAAGTAAAATCCTGCATGATCATAAAATATGACTCCAGTTTATGAATTATGGTTCCATGAAGAACCTTTGACATTCATGGAAACTTTCTATTGCACAAAAGGTTCTCTATAGTGAGAAAAAGGTTCTTTAGATTATTGAAATATTCTTCACACTAGGAATGAATTCTTGTAAGAACTGTTCACTTAAACGTTCTTTGGAGAACCAAAAATGGCTCTTCAATGGCATTGCTGCAAAAAAAAATAAAACATTTATTTTTAAGAGTGTGGTCAGTTTTTGTGGTCAAAAATTACTGCCCATTTTTACTATAAACATTTGTTCTACACTGAAATGGTTCTAAATTCTTCCGTTTGTAACAATAGCAGAACCCTTTTCGGTGTTAAATAGAATCCATTCCGCTCTTCCATTTAAAGTCCCCATGAAATCAAAATTAAAGTTTTTTGGGTGTTAGTATCAATATGTTAGTCTTAAGGTTATCTATAAGGCAGTGCGCTCCAAAACAGTGACAAAATTCGCATTTAGAAGATATAAGCATTCAAAGCTCGCAGTTCGTCACATCCGCCAAAATGGCTCAACAATTTTTTTTGACGTCAGATCGTACTTCATCTTCTCATCAAATCTTCTGACCAATCAAACGCCCTCTAGAAGCCCAAGCAACCACCCCCTACACTATAGATGCTGAAACTGCGGCTGGCTGAGATCGGTCGCTTGTTCACGGTGTAGTATTTCCTGTACAGTGAATGGCACGTAGTGCACAATGTAGGCGATAGGGAACGATTCAGATAGTGTAAATATGCTTTCGATTGAGGCAAATGTGGTCTGGTTTCACGGTGTGTCACGCGAACCGCGGCAGAGCGCACAGTCTGATCCGGACTTTGGCTCCGGTCCAGAGATGAGATCGCATGGAGCAGATCATATGTGCGAGTCGGAATATTAAACACTTTTAAAACTACACAGCCTCAGCATAATTATGATCACTATTTTGTTTTACTAAGAGTTTCATATTGAATCTAGGTAGTAATCTATTAGACTGTGGCTGTCAAATGTGGCTTTACCGAGCTCAAAGGCTCAAAGGCAGATATAAACAAAACGCTATTGGCTAATTTAAAAAGGGGGCGTGGCTGCTCGATATGTCCCGCCCTGTCTTCCTGTTTCAGTTGAAATTATGTCACCACATAGAATAACACTGCGTGTTTCAAGGCACTTCAGGGGACCTTTAAGTAAAAGCTTCTAAAAAAAAAAAAAAAAAAAGTAAAAGTTTTAATTAGTTCATTCTGTCCACCTGTTGTCTTGTTAGTTACCTCATTAGTTCCTTTGTTTGCTTCATGCTTATAAGTCCTCAGTTCTCCCTCAGTGTTTGTCGGTTTATGTTGGTGTATATTTCATTCCTGTCCCCAGTATTTGTTATTAAAGTCTATTTTCTAGTGTTAATCCTTGTCTTCGTGAGCTTTATTAGCACCAACCGTAACACTTTGAAAGTATTTTCAAAATTACATTTTTTTTTGACAGCTACAGAGTTCAAAAACAAAAAGGTGGGAAAAAGAACCATTCTAACACACACACATACACACACAAAACATGGTTCTTCAGGACAAACTAGAACTGTTACTAAGTGTAAAGAACCCCTTTTTAGAGTGCATTTATCAGTGAAATAAATACACGTCTCAATTAATAGCAGGGCAAATCAACAGTCAGAAAATGAATTAGCATACACAGTATCACATATTAGGCACAAAACATGTAAAACAAGTTTTACATCCATTCAGGTTTATATCCTCATAAATTCTGCCTCAAGTTTATTGAAGATGTTCTTTCTGTTTTCTAGCAAAGGAATGAGTGGGGAAAAAGTAGTGTAAAATAATTCATCGGATAAATCTGAATGAGCAATATATTTAGCTAATGTATGACTTTGTGATGCTTTAACAAATTTGTAAATAAAACGAGTATTACAAATACTAGGCTGTTTCAGTCTTTCTACACATTTTACTTTAATTTTTTATACTGAATTAAATGTGTCAGTTTCATTTTCTTTGTAATTATTTGTGAAATTTGCAAATTGTTCCCTAGCTTTTTTTCATGTAAATGCTACACCATTTCTCCCCCAGTATAATAGGAAATAAAGTTACAAACCAAATGACAATGACTTTTGATAGCAAAATTTGTTGCTATTTTATTGGAAAATTTGAGCAGGAGACTCTCTTATGAAGCTAGAGAAGAGAAGACTCAAAAGCAAACGCATTCAGTTGTGAGAAAATCATGTTCTAAATTATAATCATGTGTTCTTCTTCCTTTTTGTGTTTGTTGAAAATCTCATTTCTGCATATAAAAACATAACTGAAAGTATGTAATGAAAGAACCCCACTAACAAATGTGTCATCATTAATGCAGAGAAGAGCAGACACATTTGACATTATTTGGGTCTCTGCTCATTAGAAAGTAGGTGACTTTCCTGTGGTAATTGTTGCCTCGTCTGTCATTGCAAAATAGTTTAAGTAGAGCAGTTGCTTCAAGTGTAAAGATCACAAAGCCACTTCAGCTTCTTCTGTGAAATGTGGGAAGAAAAGATCTGAGGTCTGATTTATTCATTTGCTTACCATACATCACTCAGAAATCAGCATGCTGTTTTAATACATTGACTTGACACGTTCTTATAACTTGTAGTTATTATAGTTGGTCGATCTATTAACAGTTCATGAAACTGCAGATAATTTTATACTAGAGATTGTAGTCGTCTGCATTGGTCGGTTAATATGCTCTTCTGATCATCACTGAGGTCTACCTAGATCAATATCATCAATAATTCAGGTAAGTCATGTATATATTCATTTGACGAAGTTATTCAAGTTAAACTGACTGATATAACGTTTATAAATTTTCACTTAATGAAAAGACAGAGATTGTATTAATATCTTTCCATACACTGACAAAAATGATTTTTCAAAGTTGCAAATAAAGAAAATACTAGTTCAGTTTTTTTACTTCAAAATGTCACGTTTAAATCAATTTGCAACTTCATGTTGCTTTGTAATTATTAGTCAAATGTAAAAGCAATTTCGGAGTAAAAATTGTTTCTATCCCTTTTTATTTTTTGTTGTACTGTATACACTGTAAAAAAAAAAAAAAAAAAACTTCAACGCTGTAAATAGAACAAAGATTGCTGGAGTATGTTTTACAAGAAAATACTATTTCAGTCTTTTCATGTTTAATTTAATGTGTTACTTGCTGTTTTTTGTAATTACTTCAGAAAATTACAAGCAATTTCTAAGTGAAAATATTTTCAACGTTTTGTTGTTGTTGTTGTTTTCCTCCAGTGTACAAATAGCAAAAAACAACCTGACTGATGACAACGACTGATGAGAATACAGTTGACCCTAACTACTTAATTGAAGTCTATTCAGACGAGTTGTGTCGCAAAGAGGAGGTGAAAGTCGGATCCAGTGCTATTCCACTCATTTTCACAGCAGCGGTTGTGTTGAGCTGTATCTGTAATATCCTCATTCTGGTTTTCCTTGTGCTCTACAAAAGCCTCAGATGACTGACCAACGTCTTCATCCTCAATTTAGCCATGTCAGATCTGCTGTTCACTTTTGGCCTTCCGTTTTGGGCCTCGTTCCTTTTTTTTTTTTTTTTGTACTGTATACACTGTAAAAAAAAAAAAAAAAAAAACTTCAACGCTGTAAATAGAACAAAGATTGCTGGAGTATGTTTTACAAGAAAATACTATTTCAGTCTTTTCATGTTTAATTCAATGTGTTACTTGCTGTTTTTTGTAATTACTTCAGAAAATTACAAGCAATTTCTAAGTGAAAATATTTTCAACGTTTTGTTGTTGTTGTTGTTTTCCTCCAGTGTACAAATAGCAAAAAACAACCTGACTGATGACAACGACTGATGAGAATACAGTTGACCCTAACTACTTAATTGAAGTCTATTCAGACGAGTTGTGTCGCAAAGAGGAGGTGAAAGTCGGATCCAGTGCTATTCCACTCATTTTCACAGCAGCGGTTGTGTTGAGCTGTATCTGTAATATCCTCATTCTGGTTTTCCTTGTGCTCTACAAAAGCCTCAGATGACTGACCAACGTCTTCATCCTCAATTTAGCCGTGTCAGATCTGCTGTTCACTTTTGGCCTTCCGTTTTGGGCCTCGTACTACATCTGGGGTTGGACATTTGGAGAGGTTGGTTGTAAAGCTGTGAAGTTCTTCTTCTATGTGGGCTTTTACAGCAGCGTGTTGTTCTTGACTCTAATGACCGTTCAGCGTTATATGGCAGTGGTTCATCCTCTGTCTGACTGGGAGAGATGCAGAGGCCTTTCCGTCTCTCCTTTTATCGTTTGGATCCTGAGTGGAACGGTTGCACTGCTCGGTTCACTTCATAGCAAAGTCATGACAGAATCTGAGAGCCTATACTGTGAATATGACAGTGTTGAATGGAGATCTGGCATTGCTTATTTTCAACATGCTTTTTTCTTCATTGCATTCCTAATCATGGGTTATTGCTATGGCAGAATGCTGCGGACGATCACAAAATCACGGACTAATAAGAGACACAAGACTGTTAGACTAATATTCTGTATTGCACTGGTGTTTTTTATTGGTTGGGCTCCATATAACATTGTCATGTTCCTAAAATCTTTGACTGTCCATCCATTCACTGACTGTGAAGTAAGCATTAGTCTAGAATATGCATATTATGCTTGCCGAATGATAGCTTTCTCACACTGCTGCATAAACCCAGCGATTTTAGTTTTTGTAGTTGCAAGGTTTTGTAATACTTTACGAGAAATTTCAAGGAGGTTTTGTGAAAAGATTCAAAAATATGAAAAAAGAAAAAAATCTCAGGAGT